GTCTCAAAATTTTTTGCAGATTATCAGATTGATATAAAAGGCGGCTCTCTTCTTCTTTTACCTGAGATATAAGCGTGATTGGCTTCTCTTCCGCCTCTTCTTCCAAACGGCTGTCTGGACTGTCAGCGTTTTGAGCTGGCCAAGTATTTTTAGGTTGACACAAAAATGTAGGACCTTTCCACCATAAGTCATGGTTAGTAAGTTGTTGAGGACTTAGACCCCGTGAAGCGCAATCAGCAGGGTTCTCCTCGGTTGGAACGTGACGCCACGTGTACCCTTTAGTCAACAGCTGAATCTGGGCGACTCGGTTGGCAACAAACGTTTTTAACCTACTAGTAGGGGATTTAATCCATGCCAGCGCAACAGTGGAATCGGTCCAGGCGGTTACGGTGCCAATGGATAAAGATTTTAGGTTTTTGGAGACGTAATCCAAAAGGTGTGCTAATAACCACGCACCGCACAGCTCTAACCGCGGGATGGACATTTTTGTGGTTGGAGAAATTTTTGCCTTACCCATTAAGAGATGACAACCTATTCTATCACTTGTACATACCCGCAAATACACTACTGCTGCGTACGCGGCTTCCGAACTATCGCTGAAACCGTGTAGTTCATAGAGTGCGTTTGGACTGGTTACTAATCGGGGTACACGCAAGGTTGCCAGGATTGGTAACTCTTGATGATATTGCTGCCACGCATATTTAGCATCTTCGGGTATAATGTCATCCCAGTCAACTTTCAAGACCCATAGATATTTTATCAAACGTTTTAGAACCGTGGTTACTGGTGCCAATAGACCTAGAGGGTCATAGATTCTAGCGATCTCGGATAAAATAGCTCGCTTGCTGTATTTAACCGGATTGGGTTGATATTTGTAGCTTAGTGAATCAACCTTCGGATCCCAATTTAGTCCCAAGACTTTGGTATATGTCAACTCATGTTCTTCAAACGTCACTGGTAGTGTTTGTTGGTGATCGAGTGGAATGTTACTCAGTAATTTGTCGGAATTACTTGACCATTTGCGTAACTCAAAGTGACCTTTTGCAAACGTGTTTTCGAGTTTTTTCTGCAGATCTATTGCAGCTTCTTCGCTTTCGGCTCCGGTTGCTATGTCATCTACATACAAATCACGTTTAACAACTGTTTGTACAAGTGGTTCATTTACTGCTTCATCAGTTGCCAACTGATGCAGAGTGCGGATGGCGAGAAATGGAGATGACTTTTGTCCAAAAGTTACCGTGTTCATTTGATATTCTTGAACTGGTTCATCCAAAGAGAACCGGTAAAGCAAGCGTTGGTACGGTCGGTGAGCTTCGGTCACAACAATTTGTCTGAACATTTGTTTTACGTCAGCGGTAAAAACAACAGAATGAAGTCGGAAACGTAAAACAATTCCCGGTAAGTCCTGCTGTAATCTTTGACCGCAATAAAGATTGTCGTTCAATGAGTGACCCGAAGAAGTTTTTGCGGACGCATCAAACACGACCCGCAATTTAGTAGTAGTACTTTCCGGACGTAATACAGCTTGGTGTGGGATATAATACATATTTTCTTCACCGTCGGATTTTTTCACTACAGCGGACATGTGACCTGTTTCTAAGTAGTCATACATTGCCATATTGTACTCTTTATGAAGTTCTGGTGATTTTTTGAACTTATTTTCCAAACTTCGTAAGCGATGCAGCGCTACGTCTCTGGATTTCCCAAGTAGAGGGGGATTTCGTGTGAACGGAAGATGCACTATGTATCGTCCATCTTGTTGTCGTGTTGTGGTTGTTTGATAAATTTGCTCACACTCTAAATCGGCTGGGTTATTTTTCTCAACTTTTGGAACTTCTTCGATCTCGAAAAATTGTTGTAACGTATGATTTACGGATTCAGACGAACATAAGGTGATAATTTGTTGTTTTGGACCGTTGGTCGTTTTACCCATCAAAACCCAGCCAAACACCGTAGATAGCGCTATCGGTTCATCTACCTCACCTTCTTCCTTGTCGCCTAAGAGAAGCTGTGGAAAGACATCAGCGCCGAGCAAGACATCAACTGGTAACGCTTCGGCAAACGATGGATCGGCTAACTTCAAACCTTTGATGTGTGGCCATGAATGATTCCACACTCTTTTCGACGGAACTGGTCCAGTAATACGCGTTAGAATTAAAACGTCAATGCTGAACATGGGACTTTGTTGGTCGACCGGTCGTACTTCGACATTAGCTCTTCCTCTTACCGCTGGGACTTCAGCTCCGGACAACGCTTGAACGGTTACATCACACTTTTCTCTTTTTAAGCCTAAAAGCTGGACACAACGTTCAGTGACAAAGCTACTTTGACTTGCGCTGTCAAGTAGTGCTCTTACTGTAACCGATTGACCATTTTTGTTTTGCAGAACTACAGAGGCTGTCGCTAATAAAACGGACGTATGATAACCTTTTGTTTCTGCAGCCGCAACGGTTAAATGGGTCGTGGTAACGTTCGGTTCGGTTTTTTCCAAATGCAGTAGAGTATGGTGCTTACCCCCACACGTAGAACAGTTTCGTTGGTTTTTACATTCACTGGCCATGTGCGCACTGAAACAGATAAAACATCTTTTCAATTCCTTGATTGTTTGATGCCGTTCGGTTGGTGTTTTATCTTTGAACGATTGACAGTTTATCAGCAAGTGACCCGGTTGTGTATTACAGACAGGACAGGAAAATGACTTATTCTTCCTTCCCTGTTCAAGCTTTCGTTCTGGTTGGCTGCTGAATAATGTGATAGATTTGTTTGGTTTGAGTCCTTTTGTGGTTACCTTGACACTTCCTTGCGATACGGTAGCTGATTTGCAGTATTTTGTTAAGAACGTGGTAAACTCCTTCATAGATGGGTCCTCGGAGGTATCTACTAGTAGTTCCCATTGCGCTCTTAAATAATTGTCTAATTTCTTTTGTAATAGATGTAGTAGAATGGGGTCCCATTGATCTACTGCATACGATAGATTTTGGAGAGCACCCGTTGATTCTAAAATTACATTTAGTAGTTTTCTTATAGAACTACCATCACCGAAGGTTGCTCTTGGCGCGTTAAATAGAGCTTCAATGTGACTATCCGCGATAACACGGCGGTTTGAATAACGATCAGTTAACTGCGCCAAAGCTAGTTCGTAGTTGCTATCAGTCAACATGAGATTAGATACCAAACTTAATGGTTCTCCCACCAAATAAGATTTCAAGTAACCAAACTTCACCACTGGCGACATATTAGATTCACCAACTAATTTGTCAAACATATTCCTAAAACTGGTATATTCCATAGGGTTTCCACCAAATTTAGGTACTGCTAATTTTTCGATCGGGTGATAGGGTTGTGAGGCGCTGAGAGCTTTTGATTCAAAAAATGTTTTGTTGAGCGAATCGTCGACAACTGCCTCCGGTAAGTATTCGTCCGCAAATATTTTACATCCGATATACTTCTCCTCAAAAAGAGCACGCACACTATCGGTGTCGATAGCATCTACCACGGGTGTACTTTTACATTGGTGACGTATTATTACCATTAATTGCGTTTCAAAATCCGAATATAAATTTTCTATTGTCGCAAACATAATTTTAAATTTAGTTTTGGCCAACTTGTTTGAAGAATCATTTCCCAATGCTTCCCCGGCCTCGTATACGCGCTGTACTCGACACTGAAGACTTGTTATGCGCGCCTTTGCTTCCTCGTAAACTCCCATTGTGTAATTTATAAAGCACAGGAACAGAAAAATAAAAAAAATAAAAATAAAAAATGAAAAATTAGAAATACAATTTTTTTTTTTTTTTTATACTTGGGGTCACGCTGTATACACGCACACAAGACGTGGCGGCGCGCGGTGTTATGCAGCGAGCGGCCGCGAGCTTTGGCAACGCGGTGCGGTGTCCGTTGCCTTCGCGGCGCGGGGTGGCTACGTCCACTTATCGCGTGTATACTCGCGTCGTACTATACCGACGGCAGGGTCCAAAGTCCAACTTTGCACACGCGCAACAAGTGTATTATTATACGCCAACTTAAAAACTTAAAACTTAAAACCGGTGGTTCAACCACTTAGGAAAACTTAATACTAAAATACATAAATAATCCTAGGCTCGAAGGACCAATAATGTTCGGTAATGTTGTGGACTGTATTGGTTTCAAATATATATACAAAAAAAAAACAAATGATAATTAAAGCATGCAGACTACTATTAAACCAAAGTTAAGTATACAAATGTCTTACCGGCTGGCCAGCGCACTACAACAACAATTACTAAGGACTTAAAACTAAAACTATACAATAAGCAAATATTTACAACTTGAAAATACGAGAACGGTGACGGTCGGTAGTGGTGGTATTGCAAGACGGTACGGTCGTCTGAACGGTGGTGAAAGCCCGCAAACTGTTGATTACTTTACGAGAACAAGACTAATTCTTCGAACGTCGCACAAGTACACGAGCTCATCACAGCAGGCGGTTGATATGTAATTAATAATTAAAAAACAACAACAAATAACGAAAAACGGTGTAAAGTTTCTTTTACGCGTGCGGTTAACGGTGCGGTCGGTACGATGCGGTAAACAACAACAAAAAACGGATAGTAAGTGATATGGTGCGGTGGTGGTCGGTGCAGTCGGTGGTGGTGGGACGGTGCCCGGCTTGATAACGCTTGAACACTAGCTATACTCAAAGCGTGAAATAAACCCTATGTCCTAATAATAAAACAAAATGTGTATTGTTTTTTTAATTCGCTATATTAAAAGTCGCCTTGTCGCTGGCATTTCCATTTAAGTTAATTTGTTATGTGCATAACCGATATACTTATTTTAATGTTTCGGTTTATATTTTAAGTTTGTTTTAACATAAAACTTTATAGTAATATTAGTTTAACAGGGAACAGCTGAGCCATAATGTTGTTTAACAAAGGCTAATAAAATAAACGTATAAACATTTAATAACACATTTTTTTTTAAGCATATTTATTTTTAGTTCGGTTTTGCTTGACAATAAAGTAAAGTCAAACCTACAGTTTTAGTACTGTAAAACTATACTTAATTTATAGGCTAAAGCTATGGGAACAATAATTAGTTATTTTAATTTATTATTATTAATTTTAACATTATGGTTATTTTACCTTATTTTAACAATGATAAACACGAGTAAATATCAACAAAAACATCCAGTTCATTTTATTTTTTATTTAATGCTATTGAACAATAATTATGTTTGGTATACTATCTATCCATAAGTATTTTTAAGGTTTAAAACTGCCTACTACGTCTTGAACTACATCATAAAGATTGGGATTCAATTGCCTTAGGTAAATGCACTTCTCTATTGATGTGTCCACTGGAGCATTGTCTATAACGTTCTTGTTGTATAAATCCCACTTCTGCGTGTGGGGTGAATATACAAATATAGATGTATTCAAAACAACAGCCGAGGCAATTATTTCTATTTTAGTTGCCCAATCTAGAACAAATTAATAAAATGTAATCCCTGAACAGTAAAGACGGTTAGGACGTTCCATCAAAAGTATACAATTTACGAGTAAAGACTTGTAAAAATGTTTTACTCACTATTTTCTACACTACAGCTTATAAACTCATTTTCTTTGTATAATTTTTTAATAGCAATATTCGTAAAAATTTCCTAAAAACACAATACAATTAATTAAACCAAGTATCACACGTTGGGTTAGGTTAGGTTAATAATTCTAGTATTTTCTTGGTTTCTAATTGTAAATAGGACTTATCATGTACTGTATTTAAAGAATATTCTACACAAATGTTATAGCTTACATTAATTTAATTTTTAATTGCAAAATAATTTGTACATTTTTAGGGTATTTTCCTCAAATTATAGGTAAAGGAGGGAATATTTCTAACTTATGGTCTTACAGAGGGCCTTTTGAGTACGATTTCTAATCGACAGGTGATTAATGTTAGCCGCTCACACTCTTGAAAAATAAGAATTTCAATTCAGTAGTATTCCTAATTGACGAAATTGGGATCATATTTTCAGATATCATAAATAATAATGTATTTCACAAAAATGTATGTATTCCATTATTTTTTTAGAATGCTATCTGCTTTTGAATCTTATCATATTAAAAATAATCCGCAAAATATGTTGACTGGTCGATAACCAGTTACAAATAAATGCTTTTGGAGAAACAATTAACGTTTAAGGCTATAACCAGATGGAATAATATAAAAGTCCCCTACACGCCTACATATAATATTATATTGTCGAATAAATATTGAACCTAAATGAGCTGAGTTATAAATTCAAAGCTAGATGATTATTCTGAATGATTTATACGAATGGTTGTAGTTAATTACTTTAGCTACACGATTTCGGATCATTCGATGGTGGATCTCTGTGCCGGCCAGACAATAAGAAAGTGCTCTGAAAAAACTGTTTCTGTCTCTTGCCATTTCGACAATTTTGGTCGGAGCATTGAGATATACTGGATATTGGATAAACCGGAAAGGCTTTGCCAGTGAAAGAAGCCATTTTAAACACTTGTCGTATTGCCACTCTTCGTCGACAGGATAAAAGAATTCCGGTTGACGTCTTTCGATTGGCAACGCGTTTTGCATGGCTATTAATACAAAAAGTTAAATACAATTTTTTTTTTTTACAGCCTTTGTTGGAAAATATAATAGCTTAACATGGCTTACAGGGATAGCACATTTCGGTAACAATCAAAAGGGTATTCAAATAAGATAAATTAGGCTTAAGTATTAGTAGGTACTTATTATTGTTTTTACCTGAGCCTTGATCGGACAGCACATCCGTCACTAAATTATAATGTATTCCCGTAGTGTGCTGAAGATAAATGCACTTGTCCGCTTGAGTCGGTGAATCTTTGGAAGTTTGGTTCTGGTTAAACAATCCCCAACTCCCTTTTCGGTGTGAATACAAATATATAGATGTATTCAGAAGAAGAGTGGCCGCGGCAATTTCCACTTCTGTTGCCCAAACTATAACGCGTTAATTAATATTTAAATGTTTTCTGGTCAAGTAATGTTCACAATAATAATAAAATACACATCTTTCGACCTACAGTGTTTCTCTGTCCATTCCAAGTGCGCATCATAGTTTTTCTGTCCTAGCATAAACTTAATACGTTTATCATTCTTTACTTTCTGTAAAAAATGAATATTATTATTATTTTAAGCGACCGATAAATGTGTGTGTGTGTGTGTGTGTAGATAGATACATTTTAATTTTATTTATTTATTCCAATAGTCTAGTTATTACATGTAATATAAGTTGTCGTAAGGTAGGATGGTATTCTTCCGTGCCGGTCATCCAAAGAGACAATGCTCTGTAAAGACAATTGACGTCTGCTGTGACTTCGACCCACCGTGACGGAGTGTTGAGAACTTTCACCACTTGGTTAAATTGGAAATACCTGTAGAGTTCCAAGTTGAATTGTCTGCACGTGTCGAACTGCCAAACTGGTTCGACCGGATTAAAATATCCCACTTCGTCTGATGTGCTTGTCCCGACATGCAGTTCTTCGTCGTCCGGGTAGTTGCTTCCACTTTTGCTACTTTCGCCCACGAATCCCGTCGACTCTGAATTGTCAGCTGCATTTATTAACATCATAGTTGGAACATTATTGAAATGCCCCAAACACAGTAATACCATGCAACTTCTTAAGTACATGTTGAATTGTGATTCCAAACAGTGAATTATATGTATATTTTAACAATAATATGCGCTCGACAACTTCAAACTTTCCACGCGCGTCAAGAACTAATGTATTTTTTTTTTAACAGCTATAAGGTATCCTCGCGTTTGGTTAGTTTGTATAAGCCTACATCAACAAGAAAACACTGAGCACACATTTTTTTCTCTCGGATTGTTCTAAAATATAGTGTTGTCGCCTATTTATGCATGTGTCTGCAAACGAATGAAAACCAATTAATCATGCAACTACAATATATTATAGTGTGTTTCTTATGTACAAAGTTTCACACTCGACACTTCGTATGCATATTATAGTAATCCATAATGGTCGCATGTAAAAACTAACAAATTTTGCAAAAACACCTAAATTTTCATGGTTGGGTTGGGATTTGGTGAAATTTTATTGTTAATAAACGATCATGATTTTTTTCAGTTTTATACTTAAAATATAGACATAAAATATTATGTATTTGATCCTTTCAGACAATTAGCGTGATTAACAAAACATTCGGTTCGCCACATTATCAGATAATTACGATAATTCATACAAATCAAGAATTTTAACGAATATTTTACTTCAAATTGTGCGAGCTATTCTCCGACCCCACTGAGACGGCCATTTAAACCTATCAATAGGTACTGTCCAAACATTAGAGTTTAGACCACCATAAATAGACCATAAACCATTTACTGTTACTTATTTGTAATAAATGTCGTTTTAGAATTTTCACTATACACAACCATAGCCCAAAACTTTTTTATATTTGCTTAAGCGTGTGCGCTTATTAAGTATAGTTTGATATGTTGAAAAAAAATCAAAGGTTATAATAAATCATTTCAATTGTCAACGTTCTCGAAACAGACACACTGCTTTAGAATTTTTTCGCACTGGCGTTTCGACAAAACTATTTGAAACTGCTGTGTAGGTATTATTTCAATATTCGTCCGACAAAATGTATTACATTTTTAATCAAATCAAGTGTAAAAAATACATACAATGACTATGTGTACATGTGCATGCAATTTGTACGCGTTGTCTTTTAATTTAAGATTTTGTTTTATGACTCTTTTAAAATTCTAACAATTTTTGGTTATAAGTAAATGTAATATTTTATCCGTTCAACAGCAAAATGCGCGTTGAAAACAATTTTAAAAGTTAAGCCCAATAAAAATACCAGTACAGTGGAAAAGGGGGAGGCCACGGGGCTATAAAGATTTACCCCTTCTAGGGGAAAGGGTTAATGATATATTTTTTGGTTTGTTAACTTATATTGATAATACTATTAGTAACGAATATTCCCCACAAATTTGGAAATAATAAGATTATTTTTAAAGTTTAATGAAGCGACTTAGTTATAAGTTAAAAATAATCATTTAAATATTACAAAAGAATCTAAACGATTAATTAATGATTTTCTCTCTTTAGGCATTTCAAATTAAATTTTAGCTTCAAAGAATCTTCAATGTGGAGCCACGATATCTTCACAACTGCTTCGTGCTGTAACCCTATAGATAGGAAATCGTACCTGAAACATACTTAAAAGGCCCAAAAATTTTAAAAAGTTTACCCGTTCCACATTAAAAGCAAGAAGAACACCCAAAAAATATATATTTTTTTCTACTTAAAATTACGGCGCTCTATAGCTTTTTAAAAACAGTCAAACTAGTTCCAAAATTTGTATGGGAAATACTTTAAAAATACTACTACCGATAAACGTTGACAAATCAAAAAAATGTCATAAATCCTTTTCCTAGGAGGGAGGAGGATTTTTCTTATTAGCACTTTTCAAGATGAAGTTTTATGCTTGAAAATTAAACAGAATGTAGAATAGGGCTATAACATTTTCTCAAAAACCTGAAGTAAATTTTTTTTTAAGAAAACATATTATATGAAAATGTTTTTATTATATATTGTTAATTACGGTGTATGGATAAATAGGTATGACAATAAATTATTATAGACAGATGATCAACCCTATAACTGTACCTCCACCCTCATACCAAAAATACATGTTTAGTGTTTATTCACATCATTGTCATTATGTACAATGGTTTTATCGTTAATAGTTTTTTTACCATTACAGATTTTATTTATTTTTTGTCACGAGCTTAAAGAAAGTATCTAAACCCTATTTACTGTATTTTCAGTTTATTATAAATATACTATAAAGAATAAATGTTTTAGTGACCCTTTTTTTGTCAGTTCTGACCAACCCTACTGAGGTTTAAAACCTACGTTCAGACAAACCCTCACTGAGACTCTTTTGAAGTTAATTATTTTTCTATTATTGTATGTAGGCCAAGCTCAACATTTTGTTTGTCACAGTTCCTAAATCTTTGTGTAGGTGTGGCTCGTTTGATGGCAACTATTTATAAGTAATTCGAGGGGCACTGATTCCAAATAATAATTCCCGTTTTATCCATTTAACATTAATTGTTGAGTTATTGCCTGCACTCTATCAAATATGGCCACAAACAAGAATTAAAAATTATTCATTTAAATTGATATTGTAAAATTGGATTATAGATGAATTGTCGAAAATTGTGTAGAAGTAAGAATACAAGATATACATTTCATAAAAGACTTTCCTCTCGTGAATAAACCATTTAAATTAATTCCACCGGATACAATAGATGTTCAAAATTTTTGTCTAAAGAGAGGTCACATATATTTGTAAAAACATTTTATGTAGTTGGAAATTTTTATTAAAAAGCAATCCATAATGGCAGGATTTCTATTTTTGGTGTGTTAGCCAACAAGCGAGACCAGTTGAAGTAATAACTGAGGAACCTATCCTTTGAAATGTGTTATTAAACAAAGCCAAACTAACCTAACTTTACACTCCCATAATAATGGGCGTTTGGCATTATAAAATACCCATTGTTTCAAAATATAATATTTATTAGTGTGTGAGCGTTTTACAATATTGCAAAAACTTCAAAAGCAAATTTTTTTAAACGTATTCAAAAATCAAGGTATCATCATTTGTTCAAATGTACTTGTGATTCACGTTGGTATTTGAATATATTTTTGTGTATACAAGTGTCCGACAAGCAATAACGTTTTTTAATGCAACAATCTAAATTAAAATTATTAAAAATAAAAACGGTCGTAATTACAAATAATAAATGAACACGTATGCACTAAACAAATTGCCAATACTTCAAAACAGCAAATATAACATTAAAACCGAATATCATACAGAATTAAATGTTAATATTGTTAAAATTTACATATATTTATGCAGGGGGGATATTTATTTCCTAAAGTAAATGGTTTTATTCATACATTAAAAGGAAATATTTTTTTGGAAAATCACCTTAAATTAGTGTGAAAAAATAGGGGAACTCATTTTCTTAGGTTTAAGGGCAAAGCAATTCATACATGTCAATTTGCTAAAAAAATAAACCACATAATTAACTTTAAAATATTCTAATATAAATAGATAAACACTTTGCTATGACAATGATGTGCTTAAAATTGTATTTTAAGTATTAGGGTTCTTACGATTGGGATAGATTATAATAATTTGTTTTCAATTTATCATTATTAACAACATATAATAAAACTATTGGTCAGTTACATGTTGACTGTTGATCTATTCGCAACTAGCTATTTAAAAATTTGCTGTAGTCAAAGTGAAAATGTCTTCATTTTTTGGGGGGAAATTGTATATTGTGTCTCACTGTAGATCTATTTTTTAGAACTTTTTAGCTCTACTGAACTAAAAATACCTAAAAATTGAATAAACATAAAAAGTTGACCAATGTTGAAACACGAACTTTGTTAAAATCTTAATTAAAAGAAAAAAAATATGATTGTGTAAAATTTACCAAATTTATACAAGGTGATAACAATTTTACTATTAATAGCAATTTCTCTATGAAATAATTATTTTGGTCAAAGAGGTTTCTCGTGTAGTGTAATATACCAAATTATCAAAAATAGTTTGATTATAAATATCACAACTGATAATCTCAACTATGGGATCTTTTCAATGAAGATGTTTAAAAATGCAAAATGATTATTTAATTTACATGTTTAAAAATAACTTTATAATTGTATTGTATATTTCACAGTTGGTGTTGAAAAACATAAGTTATACCTGAATAATTATAGTATTATTTTGTTATAACTTATAATACGTGTTTAATGGTTTTGTATTAATACTTCTTAGGGGACCGCAAAGAAGGGTGGGGGGCTACTTATTTAAAAGTAGCTAGAGTACATATACTGCTTTTTCCCAACAAGTCAAGCACTGTTGTTTTGATCATTTAAAACACGTCCAATTGATTTCATATAATAATCCCATAAATCCATTATGGGCTAAAATTTGTGATCGTTTTTTAAACAAAACAGTGATTCAAAATGAAAATACATAAACTTCAACAATCTTCCAAAGCTAGGCGCAAGTTATGGTCGTTCTCTTAGGGTTTACTTAACGTTAAAGTGAAGTTTGACCAGTAATTTTAATACTATACTTCATTTTCAAACTAAAGCCATAAAACGGTTATTCGTTATTTAAATTAACTATTATTTATTATTATTGTTAGTCAGCATACAGAATTTTAATAAATACATTTTTAACTATTGTTTTTTTTTCTTGATCCTACGAATAAACTTAAATTAAATACGTAATGTAACATATACATTTTTAACAATGATAAACGCAAATATTCTCAATTAAAACATATAGTTAAACAAATTGGCAGTCTTAAAAAAGTCCTCTGCTTTTTAAAAAAAAAAAAAATTGTATTATCTAATTAGCATCGACTGCTTGGCCATTGGCTATAACTGTTTTAATATAGTAAGGTTTAGTTGCCAGACGAAGTTAGAGATTGATTTAAATTAAATTGAATAACATAGTCCTCTACTTCTTGAACTACGTCGTATTCATTTGGAGCACTTTGCATTAGGTAAATGCACTTATCAGTTGATGTATTCACTGGAACATAGTCTATAATGTTCTTGTTGTATAGATCCCATGTCTTTGTGTCGTGTGAATAGATAAATATCGATGTGTTCAAAAGAACAGCCGAGGCAATTATTTCTATTTTAGTTGCCCAATCTAAAAAACATTAATAACATTTAATGATTTGATCACTGAACATTGAAAATGTATGGGACATTATTTTTTTTTTTTTTTTTTATTACATATAGCTAACAAGTAACGACTTCTTAAAATATTATTTTACTCACTATTTTGTACTTCAAAGCTTATGAACTCATATCCATTGTACAATTCTTGAATGGCACGATTAAAAATAATTTCCTAAAACACACTGAAATCAATTTAACCGTCTAGAATATTCCAATAAGTTTTAATAATATATTTTTTTATTAGAATGCTATCTGCTTTTGAAAGTTATTTTATTAAATTTATATATTAAAATGATCTACTAAATCTACCGGTCGATAACCAATTTAAAATAAATACATTTGGAGTGATGAACTAAATGACCTAAATCAAAACCTAAATTAACTGAGTTCTAAACTGTGCGCTAGATGATTATTTAATTCTGTATACGATAATGGTTCTAGTTTTTACTTGAGCTACACGATTTCGGATGATTCGGTGATTGAGCTCTATACCGGACAGCCAATATGAAAGCCCTCTGAAGAAACTGTTTTTGTCTTTTTCCATTTCAACACATTTCTTCGGAGACTTGAGAATTTTTGGTGGAAGGTCATACTTGAAAGGCTTTTCAAGTATCAATTCCCATTTATTACACATTTCTTGTTGCCAAGCTACGTTTATAGGATTAAAGTATCGGATTTCTTCCTCTTGATATCTTATAATTGCCCTCTCAGGATTCAACCTAATAGATCCTAAATAAAAACGAGATATTTACAATAGGGTAATATTTATATCGCCATTCCATAAATATAAATTATTTTCTTGTGTTTTTTTTTTTGTAAAAAGTATTCACGTGACACTATTGTAGCTATTTTAGTAATGATAAAAAGGGTTTAAAAAAGGCATTGTTCGAAAAAAATGTCGAACATTTATAAAAGAAGTTAATTTATGCACACAACGAAGATTATTAGGACAGCAGAATGGACATTTTAGAGTAATAGAATCAATTAATAGAAAAAGTATCTGTAAATATATGTACCATGGTAAAACTTCAAACGGACTAAAGACGGCGGAGAATAAGCAAAGAATTACATCCAAAGATTGATTACTAAATTAAAAAACAATGTTAAAAAGGAAAACATAATAGTGCCTATTTAGGTTTTACTATGTTTTGATATTTATTGTGTACATATAACAAAAGCTAAGGTACGTTGTTTTCTGCCGTCTGCTTGGCGTTAAATACATTCTATGGAAATTGATATAGCAGTTAGGCAATTTATACTGTACGAGTGATTTATTTGGAAATAAAATGATTTTACCTAAAGCACACAGTACAAAGGGTAAAGTAACTACATAATATAGGTAGGTACTTATAAGGTACCTTACCTCCGTTTCGACCGGCTTTCACATCCGTCACTAAATTATAATGGTTTCTTGAAACATGCTGAATATAAATGCACTTGTCCTCTTTCGTCAGTGGGCTTTGTCGGGTTTGTCTGTTCTGGTCAAATAAGTCCCAAGTGCGTTTATGATGTGAATACACATATATCGGTGTATTTAGGAGAAGAGTGGCAGCGACAATTTCTGTTTCTGTCGCCCAAGCTAGAACACATTTAAACTGATGTTTAAACACATGTTTGGTTGAACCGATGTTTGCGAAATTAAATACACTTATTTTGACCTACTGTTTTGCGATAACCAAATTAAGTGTTCACGATAATTTTCTGCTCCAAGAAATTCCACAATACGTTGATCTGTCCTTACTATCTGTAAAAATCAATATTATATAATTATGTGTTTGAAATCGCGGTGTGTCGGATGGTGGACGCTTTTTATTAATTTATTTATTTCAACATTCGAGTTATTACTTCTAGCACGTGCAGTCGGAGGATAAGATGATTGTTCTCCGTGCCGGACACCCAATAAGACAATGTTCTGTAAAAACAACCGCCGTCTGCTTGAACTTCGACCGACCGCGACGGAGAACGGAGAATTTTCGCCGTTTGATTACACGGTAAATACTTCACGAGTTGCAACTTCAACTGTCTACACTTTTCGTACTGCCAAAATTGATCGACGGGATAAAAATATCTGGCTACGCGCGATTTCCTTGACCCGACAATCATTACGTCGTCATCAGAGTCGTTAGCATTGCTTGTGCTTCCACGTCTACTACTTTGGCCTTCTGTTTCGGGGCGAACATAAATCCTCTGAAACTCGTCCCTCATCCTCGAGTCGATGGACCCGGCAGAACTATCGTCTTCCGAATTTGTCAACAGCACAGTATGAAAATGCCACAAACATAGAAATATCGTGCAAATTCCTAAATACATCTCGAATTATTGTGATGTTAAAGAGTAAAATATAGACTTAAAACAACGATGCTGTCGACCACTTCTAACTTTCTATAAGCGTAAAGAAATATTAATTTTTTTAATTTTTATGTATTCTTGCGCTTTTTGGTGAGTTTGTATAAGCTAAAATCAACAAAAAAAAAAAAAACACTATTTACACATGTTTTTGTTCATGTATGTCTGTGCAAATTAATAATACAAAAATAAATCAATTTTTTTTAATTACATGCCAAACGAATGAAAACGAATTAACCACACAACTGTACTGTGCCGCGCGTCTTTTATCTAAAGTCTCAGCAAATATTCTCAATTACAACATCTATTTATGATTAGTGTTTATATAACTATGGTCGTATGCAATATTTCAAGTCTGAAAACCCATAATTGTCTTCGTAGCCCACTTTTATAATGAGTCACTTTACGAGTTTTTTCATTTTAAAAAATATTTTTTTTACACCTGTATTATAGTAATAGTTAAGACTAATTTTTATCTTTTAAATCTTAAAATTGCACAAATTTCCATGTGAGATAACTGTAATTTATAGCCAATAGTCTTTGCTACCGAAGCTTTTGATCAATAAAAAAAATGTACAATTAGGTCTCGATATCAGCGAAATAATTTTGTTTTACTTTTTATTTAGGTTCAAATGACATAATATCCAACACAACATTTTAATTTAAATCACTGATTAGGTGAACAGGATTTTAATAAATACAATTTATTCAGTCGCCTTATAAATAAGTGGAATTGTATTTACATAATGTAACATACAACTTAACGATTTCAACAATGATAAACACAAATTTTCTCAATTACAACTTCTAGTTTAAATAATTAGAAGCATTATAAAAAGGTCTCTACTTCTTGAACTACATCATACTCGTTTGGAGACTTTTGCCTTAGGTAAATGCACTTTTCAGTTAATGTATTCAGCGGAACCGAATGATCTTCAATGTTCTTGTTGTATAAATCCCATGTCTGTGTGTCGTGTGAGTAGATAAATATCGATGTATTCAATAGAACTGCCGAAGCAATTATTTCTTCTTTAGTTGCCCAATCTAAAAAAAATTAACAACATTTAATGATCTAATCATTGAACAATAAAAATGTATGGGACATTATTTTTTTTTATTACACAAATAACAAGTAAATACTTGTAAAATATTATTTTATTCACCATTGTGTATAAAGCTTATGAACTTATTTCCTGGGTACAATCCTTGAATAGCACGATTAAAAATAATTTCCTAAAAAACACACTGAAATTAATTTAACCGTCTAGAATAGTGAAAAACGGCATACAATTTGCAAAACCATAATTTGTTTCTAAATTAAAATTTATTTTTTCTCATTGTCTCATTGTCATTATTATTTTGCATAGGTAATAATTTATTTTACAAATACATATTTATTTTATTATTTTTTAGATTGCTATCATCTTTTGAAAATGTATTTTATTAACTTTTTATATTGAAAATAACCTACTAAATATGTTGACCGGTCAACATAACAAAACAGTTTTCAATAAAGACTTTTGGAGTAATTAACGTGTAAAGTTTTAAAGAGAAGGTATAATATATAAGTCACACATGCCTACATGTATTTCATGTGTTTAAACAATATAGAATCTCAATCAGCTACGCTAGATTCATGTTAAATATTTTTTTACAAATGGTTTTAGTTATTTACTTCAGCTACACGATTTCGGATAATTTTATGATGTCTCTCGGCACCGGTCAAACAATAAGAAATTGCTCTGAAGAAACTTTTTTTGTCTTTTTGTATTTCTACACATTTCTTCGGGGACTTGAGAACTGTTGTTGGAACGTCATACTGGGAAAGCTGTTCGATTATGAATTCCCATTTTTTACACATTTCTTGTTGCCAAGCTTCGTCGATAGGATTGAAGTATCGGATTTTTTCCTCTTGATATCTTATAGTTGCCCTCTCAGGATTCAAACTAATTGATCCTGAATAAAAACGAGATATTTTACATAATGTAATTTATTTCGCCATTCCATAAACATATATTATTTACTTGTGTTTTTTTTTTGTAAGAAGTATTTACGGGAACACCTCTCAAATATTCGTATACCTCATCCTAACATTATTCCAAATACCATACATTTAGAAAAATTAAGTAACTTCCTTGACGCTCCATTACCTATGTCTCTTCCTACTAAACATGTTTCCCCAAATGAAATTGTAAATGTGATTCAAAGATTAAAGCCTAATAAATCCCCCAGTCATGACTTGATAACGAACAAGATTCTAAAACATCTTCCTAAAAAAACAAATGTCCTCCTAACTTTTATTTTCAACTCAATGTTGAGATTGTCTTATTTCCCCGCCGTATGGAAATTATCCATAATCATTCTCATACTCAAACCAGGTAAACCCTCCAATCTAGCAACCTCATATAGACCCATTAGTCTACTACCAGTGCTCGGAAAACTATTCGAAAAAATCGTCCTGAAAAGATTAAGACCAATTATCGGAACACAAAATGTAATACCCAATGCACAATTTGGAATTCGTGCAAAACATTCCACCATACAACAAGTGCCAAGGCTAGTCGATGTAATTTCTTCTTCTTTTGCGAACAAAAAGTATTGTCCGGGTGTCTTCCTGGATGTAGCGCAAGCCTTTGACAGAGTTTGGCACACCGGATTGTTGTATAAAATCAAATTATCTAATAGTCAAATATCTAGGTATTATTTTAGATAAAAGACTAACCTGGGGCCCCCACCTAAAATCGAAAAGGAAGTCTCTAAATACTCGTTCGCACTTACTACGTCCTATACCCAAATCCAAACTCCCGCTTCATAACAAAATTCGTATTTATAAGTCAATGTTAAGACCAATTTGGTCATACGGAGCTCAAAAATGGAGTTGTGCTAAACCATCCCAACCAAAAAGAATAGAAGCTTTCCAATCGATTTCCCTCCGTACAATCACGTCCGCTCCTTGGTATGTTTCCAACCTCACCCTTCACAATGACTTACACATCGAATCAGTTGAAAATTTAGTTAAGACTCATTATAAAAAATTCCACTTGAATCCATTAATAGCAAGCCAGCACACAGCTACTATCCCGGACAACCCCCCACGTCGTCTTAAAAGACGTTGGTGTCGAGACCTCCTAAATTGTAATGCTGCCGTTTAATTTCTAGCCTAAACATGTCATAGGGTCCTATCGCTGGATAGTTTCCCTACCCAAAATCTTCAAGTCACATATTTACATTGTTAACATATTTGCTTATTGTATACTTTTTTTTATGTACAGATTGTAAATCTTTTTAAAAAAATTAAAAAAAAGAAGTACTTACGTGACACTATTGTAGCTATTTTAGTAATAATAAAAAGGTTTTGAAAAAGCATTGTTCCAATAAAATGTCGACTATTCTTATAAAAAGTTAATTTATGCACACAACAAAGATTGTTAGGACAGTAGGATGGACATTTTAGTGTAATAGAATCAATTAATAGAAAAAGTATCTGTAAATATATGTAGGATAGTGGAACTTAGGGGTTTTTAAACGGACTAAAGACAGCGAAGCATAGCACCCGAAAATTGATTACAGAAGTATAAATCAACGTTATAGAGAAACATATGATGGTAATTATTTAGATTTTACTATGTTTTGATATATATTTTATTGTGTACGTGTAACAACAGCTAAGGTAAGGTGTTTTCTGCCGTCTGCTTGGCGTTATAAATGCATTATATGGAAATTGATGCAGTTAGGCAATTTGTACTGTACGAGTGATTTATTTTGAAATAAAATGAATTTACCTCAAGTACACAGTACAAAGGGTAAAGTAACTACATAATATAGGTAGGTACATATAATGACTTTACCTGGGCTTTGATCGGAGTTCACATCTGTCACTAAATTATAAGTGTTTCTTGATTTATACTGAAGATAAATGCACTTGTCCTCTTTCGTCAGTGGGCTTTTGGATTTTCCGTTCTGGTCAAATAAATACCAAGTCTCTTCATAGTATGAATACACATATATCGGTGTATTCAGGAGAATAGAGGCCGCGACAATTTCTGTTTCTGTCGTACAAACTAGAACACATGAACTGACGTTTAAACACATGTTTGGTTGAACCGACGTTCGCAAAATTGAATACACTTATTTCGACCTACCGTTTTGCGATGTCCAAATCAAGTGTGCGGCATAATTTTCTTCTCCGAGAAATGTCTTAATGCGTTGATCGAACTTGACTATCTGTAAAAATCAATATTATCATTGTCATTGCTTTTTAATTAAATTTATATATTTCAATATTGCAATAATCGTTACTTCTAGCACATGTAGTTGAAACATATGATGATAGTCCGACGTGCCGGACACCCAACAAGACAATGCTCTGTAAAAACAATATTCGTCTGCTCTAACTTCGACCGTCAGCGACGGATAATGGAGAATTTTCGCCGTTTGATTGCACGGTAGATATTTCACGAGTTTCCACTTCAACTGTCTACACTTTTCGTACTGCCAAAATTGATCGACGGGATTGAAATATCCGACTTGGCGTGTATTACTCGACCCGGCGGCAACCACTACATCGTCGTTAGCATTACTCGTGCTTGCGCCTGTACTACTTTGGCCTGCTTCGTGGCGAACATAAATTCGTTGAAACTCATTCCACATCCTAAAATCAAGGGATTCAGCAAAAATTTCGCCAGCAGCATTTGTCAACGGCACGGCATGAAAATGCCATAGACACAGTGATATCATGCAAATTCCCGAATACATCTAGAACTGTTGTGATTGTAAAGAGTAAAATATCAATTTCAAAACAACTCGATGCACCCGACAACTTCAAAACTAAAGTGTCGGGTATTCTCGCGCGTTTAGCGAGTTTGCGTAAGCTAAAAGCAAAAAACAAGACCACTGTTTACACATGTTTTTGAGATTGTTGTTATATGCCTGCGCAAACTAGAAGTACAAAAATCAATTACTTTTTTTCACTACAAGCCGAACGAATGAAAACCAATTAAACGCACAACTGAAGTCTCACACTTGAAACTTTGTTTCCATATTATCCCACGGTAACAATATGCACAGCTAGCACGACATACATCAGCAGCTGTATACTGCGCGTTACCTGTGAAACTAATGCCTGTTGTTTTTTTTTTTTTTTTGAAATTCTAACAATTGAAACGCTAAGGGCCGAATTTCGAATTTTGGGTTTTCTCGAGAGACCCAAAAACCAATTTTAACACTCATTAGGCCACTTTTATAGTAAAATAAAATTATGTTTCCTTATTACAATACGTTCCGGTGTGCAATATTCTAACATAATATCAAATATAAAAAAAAAATCATTCGATCCAAATTGTTATATTTCTCAGCCATTGACTATAGTTGAAAACTGAGTTTGTTATTTTTCAATACACCCAATTGATTTAAGATGAACACATGTAATTAGTTGTAGAAAACTATGTGTTGTACCCATATGTATGCTGATGCGATAAGATAGACATGTTATCTCATTTTGAAACGAATATTTTCTAATGTGTTCTCATCTGTACAGTCCCACGATTCTCTCATTCGACCGACAAAACACTAGTAATGGTCGAATAAAATATAGGTATAAATATATATTTTTTTTAAAGGTGAATAATTTGATTTAAAACCATACAACTTATTTTTCACATTTAAACAAGTGTTTCAGAAACACGTGTTCCATTTCTAGTTTCTTCCCATTTAATTATTTTACCAATATTAATACAATTATTTCACGATGATGATAATTATAAAAACGATTACTCTTCGAAAAATTCAATTTTTATAGTCAAGTTAATTGTAATCACTGTCAAGCATTAACGATATTGAACGTGACGCTACCGAGTCTATCTGATTGATTGTAATAAGCCTTAAAAATCTTAACATTTGAACCAAACCACGTTTTAAAGCGACCAAATAGATGTTCAAACCGTCGAAATCAATATATTCTGGTATTGTAATAATTGTTGTAAGCAGAGTGTAACCATAGGAGTAGCTATTATTGCGACTGAGCTCTGAGAATAATCAGCCAATTGTCGTTACAGAAAATATGATAAATCAAATTGCTACCGTTTTGTTTGTTAATTTTTAACCGGATTTAAAAATACTATACACCGACGAAGGATAATAATCGCCATCGTGTTTACTATACACTTGTAAATCGGCTGATTCAATATTTCAATAATAGTGCTTGATGGTGTTTATCACGGTGTAAAATGTAGTATGTTTTGGACCGATTGCGGACAATGATAACCGACTGAAGTTTAAGCCAGTCAAGTAGCATCAGCTCGTGTTGTCGAGTGGTGACGTAATATGTGTCAATTCGGATTTAAATATCCGACAATGGAAATCTAGTTGTAGCATTAACTTTACTTGCCTACGTTTGTACAGTGAACACATTCAGTATTAATATTTAAAACAAGCGTGCAAATATATGGGGTGAACAAGGGCAATGCTGGTCATAGAACCATCATTATTCCAGACCTTTAACTTGCAAATGATAAGAAATGATTCGGCTGGAAGTGGTTTTTCCAAAAATAATTGTGTATTTTCTTTACAAGTCGCTACATCAGACCCTGACAAAAATACACGACTTGGTCAAGCTTTTTTAACATAAATTCTATTATAACGAAAAGTATTTTTTTTTTTTTTTTTATAATTCATATATTAAAATGTTTATAATATATGCGTTATGCAATGTTTAACAATTAAACAGTATACTCAACGCGTGTTGTTATTTTTATTACTCGGGGCATTGATATCCGAATTACATTTCATCAAACCGTGGAAATCAAATACTTATATCAGATTAGTGAGTATTGTTTATATTATTTTATTATTAATAAGTCCTAACAAAGTAGTAGGTTTAATTGACACGTTAAAACAGGTGCTTACAAATGCTCGAGGAGGCGTTTAGTTTCAGCTATAGCAATTTTTTGACAATTTTCACAAACAACATAATATATATATAATTTTTTTGGACGACCGAGATTTTCCCCAAGTATAAAAAACCGTTTTACACCATACGTATACTATACATAAACCTATATATATATACATGTTTAACCTAACCTATGTATAATATATTTTATAGGTAAACAATATAGACAAATATTAGAGTTGATAATGATGACTCTACGACTAGAGTCTCTATAAACACCATTAGCACATCTAGGATATAGGTGTTAATCGTACTAATTGCTAGGACGAATTGTAAAATTCTCCTTCTTATGTGTACGTCATAGTTGAACAACCTGTTTTATGTAACTTGGCTAGTAACCTTTGTTTTCGAAGCCTTGTTATTTCAAATAATATTTTTAAAAAAACATGACTTTTGCGACCACTCGACTTGCGCTAATTTTCCTGTAAACGGCCAAACCAGACTCGAGGTTTTGACATTTTTCACCTCTAAGCACTAAGTGTACAATATCTGTTTATTCAGACTTCATCAATTTTGTCGGTTATTGGCTGTAGGTACGATAAATAATTAATTTTTTTTATTTATTTCAACAACTAGAAATAATATATATATATTGCAATTTTCTATTATGTTTACACAGCATTTGTATTTCATTATTATGTATTGTATATTTGCGCTAGGTTTTCGTTACAGTGTCATCGTGTTGAGATTCTCCATAATTATTTAGGTGTACTTTCGCTTGTACACTATTTCATAGCTTTTGTCTTGGCCGTAGGCATTACAAAATAATTAAATTTCTATTCAGGTTGGAGTAAATATCCCTTTGAATTTGGTTTCATCCTCATTTAGGTACAATACATTAACCAAAGGTGGTGTACGGAGTCAGTTCAAAATATTTGTTTAAAAGGGTAAGATAAAGGTAAAGGTAAAATTAAAATAGAAGCCTTTAGGTACACTGTCTAATTATTATACCTACTAGCCGATAATCGTTTTTGATAACGTTTAAACTTATATTTTTTTTTTTTAATGAGCAATACTAATTATACCAAAAACCTAATTATAGTATTTTTTTTTTTAAAGGCCTATAAGCCAGTGGAACTCCGAGAAACTTATGAAAACTATACTAAATTATGTTAAATTACGTTGTTAACAATATTAAACAGGTTTCAGATGCCGAAACTTGCCGAACACGAAGATATATTAATTTAAAAACTAATTAAGTAGTCTAAAATCCTAAAAAGACGATAAAATGTGATTTACGCTGGTTTTTATTTTCAAATAGTAAGAAGGCAGTCGATTTATAAGTTTTTGAGGCCACAGAGTTCAAATTTGACCTCAGATATTCATTAAACATACAATTTGATGTGCAACTTTAAAATTTTCTAAATTCAAAAAAAAATCCCCCTAAGTAGGGAGATGATTTCAAATTTGAATTTAGCGACCCCAAAAACATATAATTTGACCTTCTTTAATGTTTTTAAACCATAAATTTAGGAGATAATTTTTTTGGATCGCGTTTTTTAGATTTCACACCACATAGCCGTCATAGCGTGCCTGGAAATCGGCCAACAATCAAAACAGCCTCGCCAACAATCAAAATGTTAAAGTTACTTACACCGAACAAGCAAATAGAAGCCAATCATAAGATTCATCATTATTTTTTTACATTCTTTTTGCAGCAAATCGAATTTACGGTGAAATTTTCTAGTCCACGTTAATGTATATTGTAAATATAATATAGTAAAAATCTAAGTTTTTCGGTTGGAAATCCACATGCAAACAATAATATTATAATATCGTATCGCATAAGAAAAAGTAGGACACTTACAAACGATACGTCGTGATCGTTAGTGCATTTTTTTAGATAATTCACATACGCAGTTGTAAATTATAGACTTATATTGTAACGGTTTTGTGACAATATTTTTGGCTCAATATTAATATTAACTAACGCGCAAAATAATATATATTTTATACGAATTGTTTTTTTGTAAATACAGCTGAAAGTTAAACGAACGGCGTTTCCAAACGATTTCTTGGCAATACTTTCTTGGTATCCAAAAAACCAAACGACTAACTACATATATTTTGAAATGTTTTATAAAACAGAAAAAAAATAAGCCAAGACAATTAAATGTATACGTCCATGACTAGGTCGCAACGAAATGGCCGTTTTAAATGACTTGACAGAAACGCAAAATTCAACAAAAGTATTAATCCTAACACGACTTTGAAGATATAAATCATTTTCAAAATAGGTTATTATCTTATTTATGTAATATTTTTTTCAGTTTAGTTCATTCCCGTGTAGCAATATTTTAATTTGAATTAGTCTTGTTTACTCCAACACAGTAAGACGGTATGCCATTTTTTATAGATTCTCAGAAGTCGATTATTGGCACGCGCTGATATTGTTGTCTGGCAGTTAACATAACGTATAACATTTTTTTTTTTTAACGACAGCTGTGTTTCACGAGTCCTATTGACGTTATTGAGACAATGGTGTTTTTTTCGGTTTTCTGTGTTCGACATAATCCGCCGAGTGACGATATTATAGTTGAAAATTAATCAACACTATCGTCAGATCTGTAATAATAACAAATAAGAATTACATAAGAGTCTAGAATATAATATTAACAAAAGGAGCACTCGAACGAATGGAAAACACTTTTGATGTAATTCATATATATATATATATATATATAGCTGATATAGCTTGTGCCATACTTGAAAGCACAATCGAATTAAATTGCTTGTTATCGTGTTCAGGCCTATGTTGGTGACGTAAAACCGAAGTACTCGAATGTATTTGTATTTGTAAGTTAGGCGGTGTGTGCAATTATTTAGAAATTGGAACAATACTTCCAAGACAGATGCGTTGAATGGAGAGAGAGACTTGACAGCGCCATTTAAACACAAGCAGAACCGTCAAAAACGGGTTTTGATGGATGGAAATATTACTACAACTATATTTCTCTCTCGAGGTGACCACGTTTCACCTGTTCATTACACTGTATCTATTAACGATGCAACCCCGTCAATAAAACACTCAGAAATGCTCGAGACGATTAATATTTAAACCACTGACACGGTTGCCCTTAAATGCTTTTATATATATACTTATCCAGTAGGCTCCCTAATCGAGTATGCTTCAATTAGCTAGGAGACCTATAATATAGATCGTTCAAAACATATTGAAGGAGTACAAAACATAATGGTTTAATTCATAGGTTTTGAATTCGGGTCATATTATAAAATAGTCGAGAGAGAACAATCAAGTTGTATTTCATTTTTACATAAGCTATTAAACAATAAAGTAGACGACCCAAATACTGGAAACAAAAAATTATTTTATATCCCTCCTGAACAATACTGGAAAAATTATATTATGTTACATTCCCCCCAATGGAACATCTCAATGTCAAGTGGAAACTCTGTGAGAGCACTAGTACAGATTTCTTTCCTTATAATGTAAACCCTTTGTGAAATTTATTGTTATAAATAGTTGATATCAATATATTATTATTTTAATATACTATTGGTATATAATTATTAACGTGATGTGTTCGGTATTGTTTATTATATATTATTGTTATGTGTTGTTGTATTATTACATTATCATTTTAATTAGATCATAAGTAAATTACACCGTTAGCTTGCTCATAATAATACATTAGATATTGTGAATGGATTTTATAACCGTGATAAAAAATAAATAAACAACAAATATTGATATCTGTATATTATTTTATGTACATACCTACATCTAAGATGAATTAAGAAGCGAATTGTGCGAAAGGGGCAATTGTATAAGTCATAATTTCAAAAATTTGGCACCGGTCAGGTTAGATATTTTACAAGAGCACTATTAGTAAGTATAAGAGACAACATACATTTACCTATAAGGATTTTGATAAAAAATATATTTGCATTACACAGAGAAAAAGTTTACCTGTGCCGTGGCGTTTTTATTGTTTTCTGATAACTTAAATCCAAATCCAAAATCGTTGATTCGAAAAGTTCCATTTTATTTTCAAATGTTATTCCTCTGTGAAAACAATTAAAACAGTATTGATATGGGAAAAAACGCTATAGCACAACTGATAAATTTCTTCTGTAAGTACTGCTCTCACAAGTTTGTCCCTTGCAAAGCAACTTCGATGAAACAAATTTTATTTAACCTTTTAGAAATGACTGTGATGGTTTGACAAAAACCGTATACTATAAACTATTTAGTTAAAACTCTTAATTGAAATTTTTCGATAAATTGCCCGTACACAACTCCTTAATAAATGACCGACGATGTGAATTAACTAAAATTAGTTTCCAACTAATATTATATTATTATTATTATTATTACTATTATTAATACTATTTTTATAAAACACAATATCTTTGTCTAGAGTGCGCAATTATGCCCTATAATAATTCGCTCTGGACTAAACAAGGGGCCTCCTAACGGTCAACTATTTAATATTCACAGATAACAGGTTCGTTTACATTCAAATTTGATCACGGCCCACGTGAATGTACTATACGTGAAAACATTTTAGATAAAAAAAAAAAAAATTGTTTATACTGACATTATTTATATTGTTATCAAAAAAAAAAACACGAAGAAACAATAATGTCTGTATTTTATAATTAACCAAATTGTGTAAATTAACTGTATTATTAACTGAAAATGTTCAGTTCGAATTTTTAATAAATTATCAAAGTTAATATGTTCAATGTTATTATTTAAACAGTCGACAACTCGCGTATACACAAAGCGATATCTTTCTTATGGCATACATTATAAGTAGATAGGTGTTGGCGAACGATTTTTTAATTATTATTATATATATATATATATTTTTTTTTTTTTTTGCCATACTATTAATTTCGCGATAAGTACCACTCGCGCGCATTACCGCGGGTTTCGAGAGATAAATACTTAATATTTAATTAATTAAAAATAACAAAAGATTAATTCGATATTCTTATCGTTCATCTCTACACACCCATTAAAAAGGGACGTCCAGTTAGGACAGGCATGTTGTAATACACAGAGACTCCGTCGCGACCGGTCCGCGTGCAATAATAATTATTATTATAATACTTTTTTTTTATTTTGCTCCATTCGGTTAAATAAATATATTAGTAAACCGTTGTTGTCATTATCATTACCACCTCAACCGTCGACATGTTTTTGACCAACAATTTTTGGATATGTTTCAAAGTGGTAAGTTGTATTTCAATCACTTTTTATTTTTAATCCCTAAAAATGATTATTCCGTAAACTATACAGTCGCGTATTGATGAATATTTTGGTATTTTTTTTTTTTAGTTTATGACCAGCAGCGTCATGGCTTTCCAACAGTTGATCGTGGGCAGCACCATTGGGTTTTCCGCTATTCTATTGGCTCAACTTCATCTACCGGGATCGCACTTTACCGTCAACTACGACGAGGCTTCGTGGATAGGTATTTTTTATCAAATTAAAAAAAAAAAAAACATAAAAAATATATCTATAGTTTCATAGACTCAGACTCGGATTATTGAAAATAATACTATTGTATTACACGGTAGGGAAAAAAAAGAATAAGACCAAGTGGTGTAAGTTGTAACAGTGTTCTTTTTTTGGAAAAATCCAGTGTAGCGGTATGCTAAAACTGGCAATGAAGTTCTTGAGGTATGGAAAGGTATATGTTAGTAATCGAATCAACAAAAAAAAAAAAAATTTGGAGAGCTTGCATCATTTTACATATTATGTTGAGCTTAAACACTTGACATGATGAAACTGTATGGAAATTTGTGTTGTTTATTTACCTGTGTAAAATGAATATAGTTATTTTAAAACATTTCCACGCAATACTTAAAACAAAAGTATGTAAATAATCTGTATGGTGTAATCATACTAATATTAAAGGTAATATTCATAGTCAATTGGTAAACAAACTGTATGATCGTTGAGATGTTATAATAGCTTATAATAATAATATATATATATACATATAAAAACTGAAGAAAAATAAAATAAATATCTACAGTACAATTATAGAAACGATTACTGATTAAACATTTTGATTAGATTTAAACCTAAAAATGTTTAATATGATACGCGGTTATTTTTAATTTTAAATGTCCAATTACTTTTTAAACATAATTTGTTTAAAAAGTAATTGGACATTTAACGGATAAAGAATACAGCTATTACGATAATTGTTTTTAAATGATAATATAATTGATTTATAAAATTTTGCAATTTTGGCATTTAACAGCTTAAAATGAAAATTAGTCGAGACGATTGTTTGTAAAATAATATTTATAATGGCTATACGAAACTAAACTTATCTAACGAATTTAATAATGTCCAATCGCTAAATAAGCTTCGAATAATCATTGCATACAAGTCGTGGGATATAATATACAGAATGATTATTTTAGCACTAGTTTACACTTAAAACAATTACAATTTTCTAGTGTTTTTATAGTAGTAGCGTTGTTCTATTCCATAGTGTAGTACATTGTTAGACAATATTCAAATTTGTACCTTGTTTATTATTGGCTATAGAGCTTTTGAAACTTTTGAAACTTGAAAATGGTAACGTATAAACATTTAATTGAATTTTTAAACTAAGAATAATTCGCTGAACAAATACCGACTGAAAGAATCATCCGGTGTAATATAACATTATTGCTTTGTAGATATAATAATATGTAGTTGACAAATATATTCGAACCGCATGTTTGAGAAATTCGAGACGCTCGACTGGTATAAGATTGCCAAAGTCAATAATTGCCTTGCGAATAAAACTACACCTTGTTATAACACTGTTTTTTTTTTGCACTTACAGCCAGCCTTTCCATACTACCGTGTCCCGTGGGTTCGTTGATTTGCGGCTACTTGACCGACAAAATAGGTCGAAAGCACGCATTACAGCTGGCCTATATACCGTTGCTCGTAAGCACCGTGATCCTCTACAACGCCGAGACCGTGACGGCCGTCTACGTCGGTAGGATATTTGCCGGACTATCTGTCGGTAAGCATATCGGTGATATAAATAACAAATTTGGCTTCTTAAGGTATTCCTGTGAAAATTGTGCGAAATATCCATATCCATATGGGCGAACACAATCATACGGGTAGGTGCAAAAATGCACCTATTTCTATTCGGTTTATTGGTTGTGCCGTTAGCTGCTGTGTCGAGTGTGGAAATTTGTGATTTCCGATGGAAAAATATAACAATAATAATTGTTAGACACTATAATATACTTTATAGCCACGCGCCAACGGTGATTCAACACTTGTGACAATAATTGAGATTCCTAATCCCTCGGTTAACGCTCAGATAGCGCGTTGCGTGCGATACGATAGTTTAACATACCTATAATAATAATAAAATTTTAACTTTTGTGTACCATACTGATTAAGTGACGGCGGCGTTCATATGTTGAGATTTTTGTTCAAGTAATACACACACACACACACACCTATACATTGTCGAATTATAAGATTAAAAACGTCGGACGTTGTACGCGTTATTAGTATAATAATTATAACAGCCGGGTAAATAAGTGCTCGACTTACGGCGTAAACACTCGAGATGACCGAACCAAACGTCACTGAATGTTTTTCGCCTGGTGCTGATAACATTCAACTGTCGTGTAGGTTTTCACACAATAATCCACAACATTTTCTGTTGTAGTGTTGAATTATTTTAACAAGAAAAAGCAAACTGCCACATTTTCAATTTTTGTTTGGTTCGAAATGGTAAAAGTGGCAGTTTACTTTTTCGTAAGCCTTTTGCTACTAAATCGCCATAACATCAATTGTATGTGTCTGGTAAATATTTTAACTGAGTAGCTTGAAATTAAAACAACAAGCATCGGTTAATATAAATAATTGCAAACATATTAAAACTAAATCTTTAACATAATAATGTTAAAACTAATCATTTTGGGAGCGGCTTCAATCTTCAAATCGAAAACATTTCCTCAAAACTATGTTGAAAATGAAATTGAATCGTTTAAATTTGGCACCCGTCTTCCAATTTATATGAGACTTAGGACGCTCAAAGCATCTCTCCGAGCTACATATTTGAGATTATTATTTGTTAAAAACTTTCGACGCATACGTGTATTCATTTGTACGTATTGTCTGTTATCAGGCACCGGAGCACCGACGTACGCGTACATAGCGGAAACGAGTCCGACCAAATGGCGACCGCTGTTCTTGTCGCTGTTGGCTTTCTACGTGGGATTGGGCATGACCCTGTCGGCTGCGCTCGGCGTGTTCTTCCACTGGCAGACGGTGTCCGGCATTTTCGCCGTGCTCAGCCTGGTCGGGTTCGCGCTGCCGTTCGCCATACCGGAGACGCCCGCGTACCTGCGGTCCCGCGGCTGGGAACAGGAGGCACGCCTGTCCGAACAGTGGTTCGGTTTCGTGTTGCCCAGCAATCGCGAGGAGCAACAGTCCGCCAACGACGATCGGAAGGACGCCGTCCCGTTGTGGAAACAGATGACCCAGCCCACCGTGTGGAAACCCACGTTGGTGGCGTTGCTGTTTTTCGTGTGCCAACAGAGTTGCGGGTTCTACGTGGTGGTGTTCTACTCGGTGGACGTGCTCAAGGACTGCCGGGTGCCGATCGACGGCATGACGGCCAACGTGTTCCTGTCGGCCGCCCGGACCATGGGCAGCGTGTTCAACCTGCTGTTGCAGACCATGCCCAAGAAAACGTTGACCGTCATCTCGGGGCTGGGCATGTTCACAATGCTGTCGGCCATCACCGTCTACCTGCACGTGTTCGAAGACACGGACGACCCGCCGTTCGCGGGCCTGCTCATCTACGCGTTCCTGTTCTACGTGTTCTTCGCCATGTTCTCCGTGTTGCCGCTGCCGTGGAGCCTGTGCAGCGAGATATTCCCCATGTCCGTCAAGGGCACCATGAGCGGACTGCTGTACTCGGTCGGGTACGAGCTCATGTTCGTCGCCATCAAGATATACCCGGCCATGGTGTCCGCGTTGGGCATCGAATGGGTGTGGACCATTTTCAACGGGTTCTGCATAACCATCGTGCTGTTCGGCGCGTTCGTCCTGCCCGAGACCACCGGAAAGTCGCTCGACCAAATCCTCGAGAAATTCGAACACCGTCCCAGGCTCGACACCAACCGCAAACAAAGGGAAATTCCTTGAGCTTGTTTCCGCAGCAGCGGTAATGGCATTTTACCGTATCACCATTTTGCAAAGTTTACTTGCACGGCCGCGAGCCCAACGTAAGATACGCGACATCTGTCCCCGCGCCTGTTGCAATACCGACGGTTAGGTGTACATTGATTTTTTTTTTTTAAGTACTTAGCAGATAAAAATATTAATATGTAAGTTTTAAAGTCAAACTTGTTTTGTTTTGTGCATCTAAATCGTTAACACGTATAGATTAGTGTATACTCTAATTAGTTAGACTTACAAGAGTACGACATTACTTAGTTTTAAGACCAACTACGAAACGATACAAGTGCTTTTTTTTTTTGTTTTTACCGTATAAAGTATTTTTTGTTTAGACATTTAAGTATTTATAACTGGTTGTTTTTAAATTCTCATCATAAACGTACGCGCTAATAGCGCTAATTTTGTCATAATGTCATTAGACTATTATCGGATTTATGATGATTTTTATATCTTTATTTTTTTGCCAGAAGGGAGAATGCACGTTATATTATTATTTTATGTAACGATTATTGTTATTAGACTTGGAAAACAAGTATTTACACTGTGATAATGTAAGTTTAATGAGGGTTGACCGGTAGACGTGCAATTATCGCCTACATGTTAGCTATATGTAAATAGATATATATGTAAATAATATTAAATTTTTCTTTTTACATTAAAAAGTCAAATTGTATGGATAATTGAATGATTATATTGTTCGGATCCACGAGTATAGTAGTTATTAGAACAAACTTTGCGTTACTTAAGTTTGTTGTTTATATTATTTTGTTAATAATTTGTATCTTTAGTTATTGTCAAAAACCACCAATTTTGTACCTACACGTCATAAGAATATTGTACATTTTATACCGATTTTATTATTATTGCGTAATAAATAAATGAAACCTAATACTCATATTTCGTATGTTTACCTAGAGTCATATTATTATACTATATTGCTTAGTTTGGTAGCAAATACAGAGGGAATAATATTCAGGTAAAATCATTTCAGTTTTTGGTAAACAGTTTTTTTTTTAAACACGCTTTTCATTATAATGTACACAGTGAAAATATATGTATAGTTTATAAAACCCTTAAGAATATCCACTAGACTTATGTAAACATGCTATAACAAAAAAAAAAAAAACAATTTTAATACAAACAATAACTATAATAACGCATGAACAAAATCAAGAGTACAATCATTTCACCAATTTTTTTTTTTTTTACAGGACTTGTTTTAAATTATACATATCATCCCGTTTAAAAATTTGAAAGTTGTTAGCTAGATTATATTCCATCTGGAAGGGAGTGTGCAGTATAGGAAGGCAAGTGGAAAATTAAGGTAAATTTGTATGAGAATGTTTTTAAACAAATCAATATATATATTATATATTTGTAATTACATTTTATATTAAACAGATAAACGGGCGTTTTAGATATGCAATATCAATACGTTCGCGTAGGTTAAGTTAGGTTAGATGAAAGAATATGAAAGAAATACGGTAAATTGATATATCTATAAAATATATAAAATATTTGCTCGAGATTGATTTATTTAGTAAACATTACGGTGGGAACAAGAAAATACATTTTCGGTTACTTTTAGTTAGGTTTAAATATTATTTCTGGACACAAATCATTGACGACGTTATTACTTTTTCCACATCAACAAGAATGATAATTTTATCAACACAAACATTGAGTGACACATTTTAATTATTTTGAATAGGATCTGAACGACGGGGTTAAGCACAAACACGTGTTAACTTTACATTTGTCTGGTAAAAATAGCATTTCAACACATGCGAGCACTTGTTCGAATGATTTTTTTTTTTTTACAGACTAGGGACATTAGTGTACTCTCTAAATTCCTCGGTGTAAACGTGAAAAATGAATATTAATTATCGGATAAACGTTATATACTTACTGGAAAACATTGTGTCTATGATGTTTTACGTACATATGAAACGGAAGTTATAATAATAAAAGAAAAATCAATAGAAAAGTGTTTTTTTTTTTATTTATAACATTTTATTTAACTTTTTTTTTTTAAATACATAATTACTTACAAAAAAACCTTAGTCTATATATTACTATATGTATGTATATTATGTAAAAAAAAAAAAATACAAGTAAATTAATAAAAAAAAAAGGAACTTAGGGCTGTTAAACACGTTGACAAATACTTCGGGGATATTATAATAAATATTTTTTTAATGGCTTAAAGTCGGATCTCGTGTGTGTGTGTGTAACTGAACTGTTTAAACGGTGGATTTTGAAAACAAAAAAAAATAAGGGTAAACACCATTTTTACAAGTAATTAAAACAAGTTTACAAGTAAATCAAACTTCAGTCGTTGAATAATAAAAAAAAAATAAATTATACCGCGCTGGTACTTATCGTTTTGGCCGGAAAAGACACGGCCGAAAGAAGGGAAGGTAAGATGGTTTTGTACAAACTGACGGTGACAATTATACATAATAATATACTAATAATAATGACATAGTTCAAACTTAAATTAAAAAAAAAAAATAATAATAATAATAAGAAAAATGACCGTGTCTTGTCCGGTTAAAACGATAATAAAAACGGACGGCGAAACATCTCAATAATAAATTAAATAGCTAAAATTAATAATTCAAATTACAACAGCGCTGCTAAACGATATAGTAGTCGTAATGGTGATAATGGTGGTGTTCGTGTATGTGATGGTGGATCTTCTTGGACGCCAGTTTGGCGCGTTTGTACCGCTGTTGGTTGTTTTTGGTGTTCTGCTGCTGCTCTTCTTCCTGGGTCGTCGTCGTCGTCGTCGCGCCGTTCTTGACCGGCGGGGTAGCGGCGGCGTGCTGGTTCAACCACTTGACCACATGCTCCTCGACGGTGGCCGGTCCGCCGCCGCCGCCGCCGCCGCCGACCACGTTGCCGTACAGAAGCTGGTGCTGCTTCTTGAGTTCGTGGAGCGTGGGCGGCGCGTGCGTGACCGGCTCGAAGTCGTACGGGCTCCAAGCCACTTTGGACGGCTTGGCGGCGGCGGGCTTGGTCGAAGACGGCGGCGGCGGTTGCGGCACGACGGCGGTATTATCCGCGTTGGGACGACGCTTCGTCCTGGTCCGGTGGTACGATTCTGGCTTGTTTGATTTCCTGAACAATCGAAAAATAATAAATAAAATAATTAGAAAATGTAATTAAAAAAAAAATAATAATAATAATAATAATAACAATAACGTCTTGGAGACGGTCCAAAAAACGACGAGGGAAACGCGTTTGTTCTAAACGTGTGTGTGTAGTAATATTATTAGAGCCGGTGTCCGGGGCACACATGGAATTCCTCTCTTCACGGTCTAATGGTCTAATAAAGTGTCGTGTTTATCACTCTGCCGTAGACGACAACCGTCGCACTTGGGCCTTATTTACGGTTATTAAATAATAATAATAATACGATATTATTATGATGTTATTTGAACGATAATAAAACATTTTAAAAACCGTACTGTCATCACCGCGTGTAGCCCACACAATGTACGTCGTCGATACACAATATTATATTCTAGGAATATCTTAGACAACATATATATATATATATATGCCTCACCTTTGATTTTGGAAACTCAAGTTTTCCGCCAGACTCCTGGACACCATCTCGACCAGTTGGTCGCGCCTGTACCGCTGCGCTCCCTGTTTGACCCGGTGGCTAGCCGACGATCCTCCTTGGACGTACACCGGAGGAGGCGTACACGGCTGGTCGACCGCGGCCGGTCTGCGGTGTTTCTGGTGGTGGTCAGACTTGCTCCTGCGTTCGCCCCTTTGCGGGGTTTTCTGCTGCTGGTGGTGGCTGCCCCACGACGGAGGAGGAACAGGGCGGCAGCCGTCGACGACGTCCGTGGCCGACTGCCGGACGTTCAACGTCACTTTGACCGTCCGGCGTCCCGGTGCCGAAAACTTCATGGTCGTACCGTACATGGACTCCAAAATTTTCGAAGCGAGCCCCTCGATGTCCTGCGTGAAAAACAAACGAGAAAAAAAACTTAAGTAAAACCAACGTCGCAACAACAGTAACAACGACAATAAGAAGAGCACAATTGTCGCAAATGTATTATAATATGTTGACGGCGTGCCAACGAGCCAATTCCGTAGAACACCGCACGCCGCTATTAACCGACGACAACGCTCGTCTTAATTGGAAACATCAAAAGACTTACGACGGCGGCTGTCGCGTTCAGTCTCGCTTTGATTGCGCTGCCAAACGTCAGAAGCGGCAAATCGTCGTTATTATTTTTAAAAGCGACTTGTCCGAAAGCCGGCGACGTACTTAAGCTCCTAGCACGGCGGTCGCCGAAAACCCGACGGTTTTCTGTTAACTATTTTAAATTGCATCCGGCCGTTCTCCCCCCCCCCCCCCACCCGTTCCCGTTCCCGGTTAGGTACACAGGCGAGGTTATGTACTCACGTGTTTGGTGATTTTTCCACAACCGTCGGTGTCGGCGGACAGGGTGTATTGGAATTCCTGTTTGATGGGTATTCCGTCCAGAGATATGTAACAGTCGTAGTCCTGGGAAAACGAGTACAACGACGGTTATTATAATAACTATTAATAATCAAAAATTTCCAAATCGAAAATTTCTACTTACGTCGTTGGGTAGCGATTGGGGAGGTGGTGTTGGGGTGGACGGCGGCGATTCGCCACTCGAAACTGGCGGCGGCAACATGGGCCGTTGTTTCGGGACAACTGCCGCCGCAGCCGCCGTCGTCTTCGTTGCGGTTGAGTCGTGCCGGCGGCTGCGGCTGCGGCTGATAACGCATTCGTCGTCGGCGGTCACCGAAGACGCGTAAGCGTAATTGCTGTTGACCGTTTTCGAACTGGCCGAATCGATTAACGTTTCCATGCTACCTGTTTTCGTGTCCAGGATGCCTAAAAAAAAAAAAAAAAAAATAATAAAACAGTGTCAATTAAAATCCACTTAAAGACATTAACATAATTTACACATTTAAAATATACATATTATTTTTTTTTTTTTTTGTCGACCAGACCAGAATCTGCGGCTTTGGTATAGACATTTTTCGTTTTAAATTAATTAATTTTTTTTTTTTTTATCTTGGTGTGGCACCGCGCGGCAAAACACACCCAAAGGACCAGCAGCTGCTGCTGCTGCTGGGTACCAGTTACGCGCGTCGGCCGCGCTTTGTTTTTTTTTTTTCTTATTCTTTTTCTTTCATCGTGGTTGTCGAGTATTATTCGGGGTTGTTGGACATTAGGAAAAAAAAAACACAAAAACAACAGAACCAGTTTGTCGCGTTACGCGCGCGGCAGCAACACACACACAAAACACAATAATAATAATAATAATAATATTTATAATGCGTGCCCGACAACAAGCGACGTACCAACGGCCGAACAATACCACTTTAATGAACGTAACGCGATTATACACATGCACTACAACGTGTGTGTGTGTGTGTGTGGAGGTGTATGAGAAGTGGAGGAGGACGCTAGAGGGGTCACGCAACGGTTTTCCGTGATGGCATATTATTTTTCATCCTTGCGCGGTACGCGCAATGGCTGGGGACTATCCCCGAGCCGGGTATGTATATATATATTTTTTTCTTATCATTCGACATGGGCGCGTATAGAGGTCGGTCCGTCGTCATCCTTATTATTTACGGTGCGTTACATTTCTTCTATATTATATTATATTATATTATTATTATTATTATTATTGTAATCGTCCGAGCACGAAAATCTCCCCAATGTTTTTTTATTTTTTATACACATATACCATTCCGCCATCCATAACAACCAAAGCGGTACTTCGCACCGTACAAACGTACATACACGTGTATGGTATATATATATATATACACGGTGCTGCTGTAGTTTTCATCGAGAGCGAACAGGACGGGTATAATATATTATTATTATACATATTATATATATATATATGTATACGTAGTGAGTGAAGGAGCGAGCGAGACCACGACGGACTGAGAGAACACGCTGGAACACTAAACAACAACACACACACACACGGTCGAGGAAACGAAACCGGTTTCGGTTGTCGGCGACGTAGACCGGAGGAGGTGAGAGCGGCCAACGTTTGATACTTACCGCCGAGCACATCCATCCGTCCGTCCGTCCATCCATCTTCTCGCTCCCTCCGGCCAACCTCCCTCCTCGTCCCGGCCCCGCGCCTCTTGCCCAAGTCACCGCCGCCGCCGATTCAAGTCTCATTATATTATACCGTATACGTGCGCATTCTCCTTGCCGAAGAAAAACAATAAGAACGGCCTTAAGAAAATAGAAATAAAACCACGTGCTATTTCCACGCAAAGCTTTTTCTCGCCAATTTTGTCTTGCCATTCGATTGCGATTGTCATCCGATCAAGTATTATACTTTTTATTATCTATATTATTATTATAATATAATATACATATGTATTCGGTTTGGAACCGAATTCGTATGTTAATAACACGTTTTCGTCAAGAGTATTGTTCTGGCCCGCCCGCCGCCCTCGTTTACAATCATCTGCGGGCAACGGACCGAGAGAGAGAGAGAGAGAGAGAGAAATAACGAGCGGCAACACACAACCAACGTTTCAGAAGAGATCCTTGGTTGAGATATATAATCTTGGCCTTGACTCTTGGCTACAAAGAGTACCGACAAGGCGGAGCCGCCGACATAACATTAGTCGCCGGCCGGCCGGTCGGTAATATTCTTTCTTTTTCTTTTTTTTTTCTTATACACATCATATATGTATATACATTTTTTCCCTCCTCTATAATCGAGCAGCGAGCGGCACATAACACATGACACGTCATTATTTTATATTATATAAAATAAAATACAAACGTATAATATAAATATATACATATATATATAAACGCGCGCGCGCTCTCGTTCATTCCTTAGGAGTTTAAACAATTTTTTTAATTTTTTTATTTAAATCGCTTCGGCTTATCATTAATCCGGCTCGTATTGTTGTACATAACGCGCCAGCGTCATAATAATAACACAGTGCCGACGACAGCTGCCGATTAAAAAAAAAAAAAGGATATTTTTTACAAAAACAAAACACACACACACACACACAATCCGAGTATTACACACCCTAACCTAACCGGACGCGTATACTTTCTTGGGGGGGGGGGGGGTGCTCGTGTAAACGTTATCAATAACGGCGGCGGCTATTTAATTATTATCAATATTGTAGCGTTGCCGGCGGCCGAACAACAACAACACACGTGTAATATTGGCACCGAACCTACTTACCTTGAACTAGTATAGCGCGAAAAAGGTTTCCCCGTCGGTATATATATATATATATAAATGTGATAACATAGTGAAAACATAATGATAATAAAAAAAACCAATTGGGGGGGCGAAGAATGTTCGGAATTTGCAAAACAAAAAAAAAATGAATATCGGTTACCAACGACCGGCCGTTGTTGTAATGTGGTTTATTGGGCCGGTTCTCGGAATGTCGGCAGATAAAAACGGAGCACGCGAGAGCCCATCATACGAGTTCCACGAAGTTCCACTGATGATGACCGGTGCGGTATTAGGTGTATATACCAACTACACTACTACCCGTTGGCACCCTCTCTTTTTTGCTCAAATATCCTCGGTCTACTCTATAATTATTATTACAAACCGAACGCGTTTAACGAATAATAAATATAATACACGGCGGTAAAATGAAATAATAATAATAATAATAATAATTATTATTATTATACCAAAACGAAAGCGACCGACCGACGAAGACACTTCCGGGGGAGAAAGAGAGAGAAAACTCCAAAAACATGTAAACAAAAAGGCGTGGGTTTGCCCGGTACACACAAGGAGACTCCGCCGCCGATATACATACAACCACCACCCACAAACATTCCGTGTTTTTTCCTATCTCATGCCGATTCACGGGAGACCCGTGCACAATAGGGCCAGCTGGATACTGCACATAGTGGTGCATATAATACAATGTGTACCTACTATACGGGGAGGTGAGCGCTGGCGACGACGATGAAAAACATTATTATTGTTGATGTTGTTGTTGTTGCCTGGGAAAGAAAAGAAAAGAGCAGAACAGAAAAAAATCCCATTTCCAAGGAAACGCGCGGGACCCTCGAATTCCTTTTGACGACGGCCGTACACAAAAAACCGCAGGTCCTCGGTGCGTGTATAATATCCCAACGTATACGGCCCACAAAAAGGACACGGCGAAGAACACACGGGAATCGATAACCGTTTGATTTGTTGCAAGTGCACAAAAGAAGAAAAAAAATGGTCCACATGTAATGTGCGTGTGCGACCGTTCCTTTTTTTCCCTCCCTCCCCCCCGCTCCGAAATACCTTAATCGTCGTAATAATGATAAAATAATATTATAACAACGCGTTATGATATTATTATTATTATTATTGGACCTAAACAAGTCGTGTTATTATTTTATGCGTTGGCGCAAAGGGTTAAGCGGCGAGGGAGTCCGTCGACCTCGAGGGAATACATGCTAAAAACGATGATGCTTAAATCAAGTACACACACACGGACGGTGTATGTATTGTTTACTAGGTATATTATTATTATTATTATTACTTTCGTTTTGCGGAGATAACCTCGCCGCCGCCGCCGTCGCCACCGTCGGCACAATCCTATTATATTATTATTATTATTTTAGTAGGCGGTACACACGACGGACTAGAAACGCGCCGCATTCCGCCGTGTCGAGCGAGATAATCGCCGACCGAAACAACCGTTAACGAGAGTCATAAAAAAAAGTAAAATAAAAAACCACCAACAAGTGTCGGTGTACAAGAGAGAATTTTACTGCCTAGGCCGCGGCGCCACACGCATACCGTGAAAGTCCCTTACAACGTTTTGGCGTACGGCGCGCGCTTTGGCCGACAAGAAGATATTCCCCGTAAATACCAGCTATAATATGGCAATGGATGATGTCGTTCCGGGTTACAAAATGTCGAGCCCTTATAGGAGACGAAACAGATTGATCTACTAATTATTGCGACATGTTATCCATAATAATAATAATATACGGTTTTTACCTGTGGAATATTTTCGTATCCACTTGAGCCATTCCATTTTTTTCGCGATGCCCATGAATCGAACGTCGGCCCGACGTACGGAATGACATATATCAAAAAAAAAATAAATAAACTAGTAAACTATTAAAAACTGATCAGTCGATTCGCGGTCACTTTGGTGTCTGGCGGACATCGGTAAGAGTTAAAAAAAAAAAAAAAAAAACACTGTCAATAACGCGTACTCGCGTCTCGGTTAGTGATTATATTTTAGCAGTGATAATGATATCCACAATTGTATACACTCAACACTCTTCTAAAAAAACGACCGGACGAGGTAAGACGCGTTCGACGCGTTCGAATGCTGACGGGCAACTGAGGTGGACTGGCGGCGGCGGCGTCGGCATCGGCATCGGCAAGGCGACCGCCTAGTATGGCATGACACTCGTTCATCCTTGGGGCTCATAATAACACATATGTATGTACGTATATATACAGAATGCCTGCTGTATGGCGGCTGCTCGCTGTTCCGGGCCAGGTCTTTGAAACGATACCGCTCGTTCTTTTCATCCGCCCCGGCCGGCCGGCCGTCGTCTCCGTATGTTATTTTCTCGGTCCATTATTACCCGGCACGTTTTGTACCATTCTTTCTTTTTTTTTTTCTTTTTTTCTTCTACTCCATTATTATTATTATACGTTACGCCAGCTTCGGCGAGCACACATACACACACACACACACACGGCCCATAGTATACCGCTGGGCATTGACGGTCGGCGTGTAACACACGGGTTCGCGCGCCGCAAGACCAAAAAAAAAAAGAAAACCCCTAAAGCAAAAAAAAAAGGAGAAAAATTTGCCCGTACAGCCACCGACGACACGACACCGAACGACGCGACGTGTAATTAGGCGTGTACAGCGTATTGTACGTATAGTAGGTAGGCCGCCCAAGGTGTACGCGCGCGCGCGCTTACCTACTACGCTTACCTTTGGACTTTGCATGCACACGACATCTTCGCAGGACCGCCGTCAACGGACGGACGGCGGACGTGGGATATTTATTTACTCTGCGGAAATAATACTATATCGTATATGGCCCACGAGGCATTGATACTGCGGCGCGTACGTGGGTACCTGTTTGTAACGTGCGTAAGAATTCGAGATAAGCGAAAATGGAAATCGAACGAAACCGATGAAACCCACGCAAAATACTTACATTTCTGTGGCCAGATACCTGTTGATTGTTGATTCATTCACTGATGACAATTGACTGCGGACAAGTGTAATTTTCCCTATTTTTGGGGGGGAGGTTTTTCTTAATAAGTTGGACTACAGATTTTTGAGAAAACTGTATAATGTTATAGTTCCATTCTAGACCTAACTTTGGACTAATTTTCACACTTTTAACCCTAAAACTTCACCTAAATAAGCGAAATTATAGCAAAGATACCACCCTTTCTAAGGGAAACAGGTATATGGTTATTTTTTTTTTGTTTTGTCAACGTTTATCGGTCGGTACTACACTATGCGTCTAAAAAATATTCTATATAAATTTACAACTAATTGTCGTTCATGCCAATCAAGTCTGACGAAGACAATTTTATTTTAGGCCACGTTTTACAAGTCGATCCGGCCACCCCGTCAAATTAATGGTTTCTTCATTCGCCCTACGTCCATAATATATTATAATTTAATATTATGTTACAGGCGTTCAATCTCGTACTTACTTGTATACTATTTTATCGTTATGCGAGCGTACCCCCCCCCCCCCCAAAAAAAAAATACTTTATATACGTACCACATACGAAAACTATAATTTTGCTTTTATATTATATATTTATTATCTTTTCTGTTGTCGTCGTCTTAATTCGATTTAAGATTACGAAATTAACGGGTGCGGTGTTGCTCAGGGGCCGAACCGACTGGTTTATGTGAGTGGTGTGTGTTCGGGAAGAAATAAAATTTAAAAAAAAAGGACGACGGAGGCTGGCTATATTATTGAACGAAATCATTGGCAGGCCGGGCTCGAGTTTAGTATATAGTGGTAGTAGCTAATTCAAAAAAAAAAAAAGGGTTAGCGACGGAGTCTTAAATTATAGGTTGTACCTATCTCTGCCGCCTTACCTATGTGTATATATATATATATATATGCACGCGTAAGTATGTATATTACAAGCATACCGGGTTCAATTATAATAATAACGTGACAGACGGATATACGTGATTCATGTGTGTAATAATATTATTATTATTATAACGAAATTTCGTGTCGGGTCTTGGACGGGGGGGGGAGGCGGGGAAGAGGGGGAGGGATGGGAGGGCATCGTAGAAGAAATATAGAAGATTGACCGTGTTATTATTACCGTCTTCTCCAAAGCCGGCCGACTCCTAATGAGTTTTTTTTTTTAGTTTTAGGTATCGTCCACTTATATTGTACCTATACAGGTATACCGCTTTAGCTGTCGCATCACATTAATTTTTTCATAGATAGGTAACACTCGTTTATTTTTATAATGTACTTACCTTATGTATGAATATCAAAAGACAATGCCGTTATATTGAACACTAGGAAGAGTAGGTGTATGGTTTTGTATATTTTGTCAAAATATCAAAACTAGCAAGGTTGGATTGACTCTAACGGGCCACTATATAAGGCATATAAAATCACAGTGACTACGAGTGGTCTAAGTAAAAGCATACAAGGACCTACGACTCAAGTCAGTACTTGTGGCCAATACAAACTCAATATTTATGCCGTTTCAAGTTGAGAGCTTATTTTTTTTTACCTATGTAAAACATTATGACAGTGCCCCGTTGCCTATGAATAACTTAATCCGACCCGGAAATCAATACCTATATTATAGATTATATCTATGTAGAATAATCTTAGCTATTTCTTTTTATTATTGAATACAATTACCGACTGTATTATTTTTAAAACGAACCGTACATGCAATATTATAATGGCTAAATATAGAATTTGCAGTCGATTTTATAACGCACTACAAGCGTCGTTAAAATGCAATTAGTTATAGATATAGCTGCTTCCAATTCAACGATGACTGTGCAGACTTAATTTATATTAAAGCCGTGTCATCGTTTATACCACGTACACGGCACACGAATATAAATTGTACAATTAACCTGTTATTATAATATTTATATTCACGGTGTCCGACCTTCAATGACATATATATATATATATATATATATAAATAATATTAATATTATATGGACCTGGTTATACATTGTGTTTTACACCATTTAACGAATAATATGCTTTCCTTTTTTAGATTTTCACGGGTCAGATTCAGCGAATCTTGTACGATGTCGTTGTACAGTGTATATGTAATTAGTTAAAGTAACGCACTATCTGGTTTTGTGTAATCTGTGATGGATACAACCATAATATATCGTGATCCGTTCTCCTCGGTTTTCGAGTGTCAGGGGAAAAAATGATCCTAAGACGTACACCGGCACCGTGGGTGTACTTAATTTTCCAACAAGTTAATCGGGCGGCTAAGGGTAAGTGCAATTCGGTCGGTGTTGTGTAAGTATAATAGTATACGTATTATCCCAAGTATATAATTAAAGGCGAAAATATGTTTTGCGCCCACCGATGTGATTCCTCAGAACGGTCAGACCCCGCGGTGGGGCGTTTCGCGTTAAGGGTTTTGTTGTCCTACAGAAACCTTTAAGGTTTGTAAGACATATTATTATTATTGTACATTGGGACCAACTTCGTGGGGCGTTTCTATCCCGACGATCCCGTGTAACGTTCCGGGAATCTTTTTCATAAACATTTCCATCAGCGCTTTTCGCGTGGATGCACATATTATAAGACCTATTAATCGATTTCGGGCGATTCTTTGCCGAGATGTGTGTTTTCGTTCCTCCGAAATATAACGGCTACGCTGAGAAAAACCAGTCGGCGAAAATTGCCGTCTTACAACAATAGCTGTCTTTTGTGATAACTATATTATTGAAATGTGTAAATTACAACACACCAATCAATGGTTCACGGTTGTGTGAAAACTATCAAAGACAATGTCATTGTGTAATTTCGTTTCCTAGACAATCGCTATCGAGCAGGGTTTAGTTGAAAAAAAAAAAAAAGAAGAAAATACTAGTTAACAAACTGTTGGTACACTGCTATACATTAAGTAGTATATATATATATATATATATATTACTACTTTAATGTTTCTATTGACATAAATGTATATTTCCTAAAAAAATGAATTACGACTCACGTGGTGTGAGTTTCGTGTAGGTAATTTATTTTAATAAAAATGATAATTAAACAATGAATGAAGTACTTATAGTGTAAAAGCATGGGCTTTATCGGGTTTTATCAGTGTATAATACAAAAAAACCGAGCTCTTGACATTTAACTCTGCATCAAAGGAAACTGTTATGGCGGTACCGCGTTTCGATTATGATAATTATCGTTATTTTCGCAAAACCATGTAGAAATCATAATGGTTTATATAATTGGACGTTTATAGTCCAACAAGTCACAGATATCAAAAAAAAAAAAAAAAATATTACAATTTGCAGAGGTTTCATTTCGCTATGAAAACGCGTTAATGATAATTTTTTTATAATTGCAATAATATTTTGCCAACCGGCGTTTTAAACCAACGACTATCTTATTTATTTATAGTAATAATTATCTTATTTATATATATATACATACAACACACACACATTTAAATATATTATATGTTTAATTGAGGTTAGCGTTAAATTATTTCTGTGAATCTGTAGAATGGTTTTTTGCTTATTTATTTTTAAATAAAATAATAAGCTATAAATAGATTAAAAATGTCTATAATTAAGTAAAAAACACAATTTACATAATGTAAAATCTATAATTGATTAGATACGCGAGCTGTTCGTCTATTAACAGCAAAACCTTTTAGTGACGTCAACGTTCTACGGATTAAGACTAGGTATAATGGCTTAAGTAATTTTTTTTTTTTTTAGAATATATTATAATAAGTTTCACAGTAAAACATACATCTCGTCTCGTATGTATTATTAGTTTACAGTTTGTGGCAACTGCTAGTTAATAATATTAATTTTTAATGGATATCATTTAAATCCAATTGGTATTAGGTAACCAAGTTCTTGAGATTTTTAATATTGTACTTTTATTGCTAGTTGCGACATGTAATAATACCATTTTTGTAATTATTGGTTTTTTCTAATATATTTTAGTTTTAATTGTGCCCTAAACCAGTACCTAGTTACCTTATATTTTTCATTAATAATACACTGGCTGTAGTTTTTATTATTAATTGTTTGATCAAACACGATGTAACTGGATGTATAAGATAATTAAAAATAAACAACTACAA